GATTTATCCGTAGACCATCGCAGATCAGATTCGGTTGACAGAATGATTATCAGAGTTCTCACTTCACAAAGGAAGTAATCACTAAAGTAAATGATCTCGACCAAGCGAGATCACTACTCTTATCGAGATCAAGTCCAAGCCTGATCTCAAGGAAAGGGTGGACGGGACTTCAGATCCTTCGAATTGCTCCTTCTTTATGCCGGGTTTTGCCAAGATCTGTTAGCCCTCTCTAAAATTTTGTGGAATGCACTCACAAAACTAGCAGCACATTGCCCTCTTTGATAAAATTTGCCCCTTTTTGAAAGAAAGCCCTAGGCTCGTATTTATTGGGTTTCGGATGAATGATTTGGCCATATCTTCAGTTGACAACGGCCTAACCATTCTTAGATATGATATAAAGTTAGTTGGGAAGCTTAGACACAAAGAAATCCTGAGAAAACAGGTTAAAAACAACTTTTAGCGGTTTCGCCCTTGTCGGACACCATGTGACCTGCCGCGCGGCCGAAACCGCCAAAAGTTGTTTTTAACGTATTTTCTCAGGATTTCTTCGTGTCTAAGCTTTCCAACTAACTTGATATCATATCTAAGAGTGGTTAGGCCATTGTCAACTGAAGATATGGCCAAATCATTCATCCGAAGCCCTATAAATATGAGCCTAGGGCTTTCTTTCAAAAGGGGTGAACTTTATCAAAGAGGGCAAGGTGCTGCTGGTTTTGTGAGTGCATTCCACAAAATTTTAGAGAGGGCTAACAGATATTGGGGAATCCAGGCATAAAGAAGGAGCAATTCGAAGGATCTGAAGTCCCGTCCACCCTTTCCTTGAGATCAGGCTTGGACTTGATCTCGATAAGAGTAGTGATCTCGCTTGGTCGAGATCATTTACTTTAGTGATTACTTCCTTTGTGAAGTGAGAACTCTGATAATCATTCTGTCAACCGGATCCAATCCGCGGTGATCAATGGAAAAACCCCGGCACATGTAAAGATCCCACGCAAACAAAGACTAATAAATAGGATATGTGTGTTGTTTGAAGGAGATTGTAGTTTTTATTTTCATTATGTAAAGGTTTTATAAAAAGATCAATCTTTTTGAACTTGTTGTAACGATCAAAGTTGTAACGAGTTATACAATGAAGAAAATAATTTTTGACCCAAACAGTAACATGCTCTCAAAGCCCAGGCATCTGAAATACAAGGACCCTAGTTTTTCTACCATTTCATGTGTCATAGAAAAACACCTTCATTAATAATGCACATCTAGACTTTGGAGCTAGTGTGTATCTTCTCTCCTATTTAGTTTTTCAATAACCAAGGGTAGATTAATTAAGCTAGCGAGATGTACCTTCTAATTAGCTGTAGATCCATGAAGATACCCCAAGGGAGAAACAGAGGACGTTCTTATCAAGATTTTGAAGTTTATTTTTTTAATAGATTTCATAGTCTTGTAAATAGACTATTTCTAATCCCAAAAGTCGGATATATGTTATTTTAAGAAGACTGTTCTTAGTAACTTTTAATATTCTGATCAATTATAGAATTAGTCAAATGAAGCTATCATTTAAGAACATGACTGTTAATCTCAATATTTTCAATCTAGAGAACCAGCCGACTAATTCATCAGATTAACCCCTAGAAGAGAACTACATTCAAAGGAATATTAAATGAATGGTTAGAAGGAAAGTGTGAGTCAGATTGTAGCTTTACTGACCTAAGTTTGAGGGGATTATTAACGAAGAAATTAGGTTTTTTAATGAAGAACCTAGCTTCCTAGGAGAAATGGAATAGCCAGTTCATTTATGACTCAATCATGAACCCTAGCTTAGAGGAGATTTTTAATGCTAAGACTGAGTTCTTCAAGGAATTAGAATAATATTCTGATCTTTGGTTTATTTCTGAATCTAACCTTCTATTGTTGGAAATGCACATCAACAACTTACACATTGATTTTAGCAATAAGATATGATTTAATGTAGGACTTAATCTTTTCATGTTAAAATTTTTATTTTACTTCTTTACTCTTCATCTCATAATAATAAGTATAATAAAAAAAGTTATTTTTCTCTCCTTTGACAGTCTCTTATTCTTTTTAAAAAAAGAATGAACAAAAAAGAAAGAAAAAAAGAGACAAAAATTATGAAAAAAAAGGAAAGAGAGAAAATAAATTTGACTACATTCTCCTCACACCAAAGATAATTACAAATTTTTATCATTTTATCATTGTGCAAGATTGACTGAATAAATACAAGTTTTTTGTTTTCTATTTGCTTTACTTTGTGCATTATATAGTTTGCATTGAAGATAATGCAAAACTTAAGTGTGGGGTTGGGGACTAGTCAACTTTTTTCTCTATTTTATCTTTTCTTCTTCTTTTTATCTTTTTATTCATAGTTTCTTCTCCATTTATCCGCTTAAAAATATATTTGTCACTTGCCAACTTGATAAAATTAATTATTAATTAATCTACTTGGTAAACTTTTAATTTTTTGAATTTTTAGTTTTTTTTTGTTAATGAATTTAATTTTATTTATTTTCCAAATGTGAAATATTTAAGTACATCAAAACATCCAGACCATAATCTGGGAATCAACTAGTAAGAAAATTACAATTGCTCAATTTTCTCTTTTATGTGTACAGGAATTTTGTCATTCAAAACTTTTGAAAGAATGGAGATCTTGATATTGCGAAAAAGAACTTCAGGAGTTCTAGTCTTTTGCTGAAAGATCCGCTGGTTCCTCTCAATCCAAATTGCATATACTGTTGCAGACAAAGCTAGCCTCTTAAATTTCTTCATGAACCCATTTCCCCTTAGCCTGGTGCTGTACCAATCGATGATATTATCCTAACTACATGACCTCCATTTGTATTCCAGCCAGTTCATCATATTGTTCCACACCTCAACAGAATATTGACATTCAAATAGGAGATGTCGACAGGTTTCATTGCTCTGATTTAAACGCAAGACACATATATTTGTGTCCAGTATCCCCATATGACATAACCTGCCTTTGGTTAATAGGTTTACATGAATAGCTAGCCATAGGACAAAGGAATGCTTGGGGTAGTTCCAACTATCCCAGACAGTATCCGACCAATTCACCTCAGGAGTATGTTGTGCAATTTCTCTGTAAATAGAGGATATAATGACTTTGCCCCCAGAATAGCATTTACTGATTGCATTTTGCATATTACTAACATTCCCAAATTTGCCAATGAGAATATCTCTCACCTTTTGAAGTTGCTTCCACATCCATGAATTGCTCACCCTCACTTGAACATGCCAGATATTATGTTGTTTCAGATAATTTTCATGAACCCATTTTATCCACAACAAGTCTTTCTTTAAATGAATCAACCATAGAAGCTTAGTTGCAGCTGCAAGATTCTAATTTCTTGCCCAAAACACTCCAAGGGCTCCCTGTTTTTTATCTGTGCAGATTGTCTCCCATGACACCAAATGTATTTTATGATTCCAAAGGAAGTTAGAACATAATCTGTCAATTTTCTCTAGGATCTTCATAGGTAGGATGTAGTTGCTTGTCCAGAATATTTAAACCCCCAAAATTACAGATTTGATAAGCTGCAATCTACTAGCATAAGAAAGGTTTTTCCTCTTCTGCCAGCTTTGGAACTAATCATTGATTTTATTTATCAGAGGGGAACATTCCAGAGAGGATAATCTTTTAGAGATTAAAGGCATTCCCAAGTATCTCACTGGTAATACCCCCTCGGAAAAATTCAAAAGAGTGCAAATCTACTGTTTCAAATTTTCATCAATGCCACTTAAGTACACCGAGCACTTATTTGGGTTAACTTCTAACCCAGAAACTTGACTAAACTCCTGAAGACAACCATATAGCTTTGCAACAGAGTAGATGTCAGCTTTTCCAAATAGGAGCAAATCATCAGCAAAGAATAGGTGAGTGATATTTAACTTGGAGCATTTGGGATGATATTTGAATAGTCTGTCATTTTTAAGAGTGTTTAACCTTCTTGACAGATATTCCATTCCAAGAACAAAAAGATAAGTGCAGAGGGGATCCCCTTGTCTCAAGCCTCTAGCTCCCCTAAAATATCCATGAAGTGTTCCATTCAAGGATAAAGAAAACTTAGCAGTGGTAATGCATTCCATGATCCATATTATCATTCTGTTAGGAAACCCCAACCCAGATAGCATAGATTCAATGAAAATCCAGCTAATTGTATCAAATGCTTTTCTTAAATCAATGTTGAGAATGGCTCTAGGTGAGGTCTGTTTTCTACCATAATGCTTTACTAGTTCATGTGCCAGTAAAATGTTACTAGAGATACTTCTACCTCTGACAAATGCACTTTGTCCATCACCAATCAACAAACTCATAACCTCTTGAATTCTGCCAGCAATAATTTTTGAAATAATTTTATACACACAGTTGCAGCAGGAAATTGGCCTAAAGTCTGAAGGTGTTTTAGGATTGTGTATCTTTGGCACCAATGTAATAGATGTAGAATTGAAAGTTCCTAGAAGTTTACCAGTCTTGAAGAATTCCTCAGCAGCTAGATAAACATCCTCACTAATGATTCCCCAAGTAGCTTTGAAAAAAGAAGCATTGTAGCCGTCAGGTCCAGGGGCTCTTTCACTTGACATAGAGAATACTGCATTTTTGATCTCCTTTCTAGAGATTGGAAGAACCAGGGAGTTAATTTGAGCTGGAGATAATACTGGTCCACTAGAAATTACCTCTGGGTCAGGAGTAGAGGTATGAGTAGCAACACCTAGAAGCCTTTCATAATATTCAGTGAATAAAGTAGCAATATCAGTTATGTCTGTGATCCTTTCACCATTCTCAGTATATAATGACAACACTCTGTTGTGATGCCTCTTAGCTTTCATTATGAAATGGAAGAATTGGGAATATTTATCACCATATAAACCCCATCTAATATTTGCTTTTTGTTTATAGAAAGAGGTTTCACAGTCAATTAGTCTGGTATATTTTCTTAAGCATTCCTTCTCTTTTGATATCAACATTTGGTTGAAAGATCATTATTTAACTGATTCTGAATATCAGAGAGTTCACTTTTAGCTCTTATCACCTGCTCACTTATGTTCATAAAATGCTTCTTGTTTAAATCTTTCAGATCCTGCTTAAGCTCCCTGAGCTTAGTATGAAGCTTATACATGTGAAAGCCTCTGATATCTTGTTCCCAAACAGTCTTGACAACTGTGGTAAAATCTGGATGATTTATCCACATACTAAAAAATTTGAATGGTCTTTTACCTTTAAAGTCATCTTCACCAATTGTTATGAGAGTATGGGAATGATCAGAGCAATTTGGAACCAGGTAATCCACTTGACTTGAGGTGTAAGTCTGGATCCATTCTTCATTTATTAATACTCTATCAAGTCTACTCCAAATTCTAGAATCAGCCCCTTGTTTGTTGTTCCATGTAAAAAAATAGCCAGTAGTCTTCAAATGAATCAATTGACATGTAGAAATAAAATTTATGAAGTCTTCAGTATCATAGTCAGAGACAAGAGCACCCCCTAACTTTTCCTCATTGCTGATTATGGCATTAAAGGCATCCCCAATGATCCATGGATATGTAACATTTTGTTTGAGAGAAAGTAAGTCATGCCAGAGCTCCTTTCTACCTTCCAGATTATTTAGTGCATAAACCGCAGTAATAATGCATGAGAGCTTTCCATCCTTTGAATTAACATTACATGATATGAACTGATCAGTGGATGATATGCATTGAACAGAGAGTATGTTATTATCCCACAGAATCCAGATTCTTCCATTATTTGCTTGATGAGAGTTAGAAATCCAATTCCAATTTTTAACCATTTTCCTTGCAATCCATTGCATTTTATTACTAGCAACTTTTGTTTCTAAAAGAGCTATGAAAGAAAGATGGAAATCATGAACAAACTGCTTAACAATCATGTGTTTAGAGGATTTGTTCAAACCTCTAATATTCCAAATGGCTAGTTGTATTATTGGGATAATCCACCTCTATCCAAGTTAGAAGGGTCAAGATCTTGTACCTGGCAGTTCAATAAGGAGAATTGGGATGCCTGAATGTCAGAGGATGCTACGTTTGCCTTGTCACCAATACTAATCCTTTTAGCATCATTTGCCCTATTAACACTTGAAAAACCAGAGACATTTACAGTAGGGGAGGTTATGTTTGCCAAACCCATATAATTACTCCTGGAAACCTGCATAGGGTCTTTCCCAGAACTGGGTACTGTTGGTGCATGTTGATGAGGCAGATTCTTACCAGAGTTCCCATTCTCTTTTCCAACAGAGTCTTGATTTATAATAGGCTCTTGTATTTGTCTATTAACAGGAGAAACCACATTTTGTGCATTTATCTCCTTTTCAGAACCATTAACCATATTAACTGCAGCTAGTGTATTTGTCACCTGTTGCTTGGGAACCCACATTTTTTTCATCTTTTGCCTTCTACATTGCTCAGTCATGTGTCCAATTATATTACAATTTGTGCACCATCTTGGTTTGAGCTCATACACTATCCTTTGGTTATAGCACTTCCCATCAGGCCCTTGGATAACAATCTGATCAGGGAGAGGTTCTTTTAGAGGCAATTTAACTTCAATCAAGACTTTTGCATAAGATAATCTTTCCCTTGTAGCAGTTAGCTTATCTGTAGCAATAGGATTACCAACAATGCTGGCAATCTTGCTGATACCAAAGGAGCTCCACAAATTCAATTTTAGATTTCGCAACTGAATCCACATAGGGTAAGTGTAATCTTGAATTTTCTCAATATCAGTGTCAAGAGACCAATGGTTTAAAACAAAAGGTCTTGATCCAAAGAACCATGGCCCAGCCTCTAAAATCTCTTTCATTTGATACTCCGATTGAAACTCAAAGAGAAATAATCCTTGCTTTATTAAATGAACTTTAGGTATAGAAAATTTTCCCCAAAGTTTATTGACATAGGTTTCCATAGATTTAAATTTTACATTAACACCAATGACATGCCCTATCAATGCAAATTTCCAATAATCTTCACCTTCCTTCCATTCATCCATAGAAAATGAAACAGTATTTGCTTTCGAAGGTTGAATAAAATTCAGTTCTAACCCATTACCATGCTTTCTATTGTCAGCAAAAAAAACTAGCGAAGGATTTTTTATTTTCTGGAGCATTATTTTCCAAATTGGTAGCAATCTTTTGATTTTCCATCCCAGAGTCACAGCTATCTTCCACAACAATTGAAATCAGATCATCAACATTTTTAGATCTAACCGCTTGAGAATAATCAATATCATCCTCTAGATTTTGAATTTTTAGTTAATTGTAATCAAGTTAACCTTTTATGATAACTCTAACTAATTTTCTTAAGAAATAATTTTTAAAGTAGTATACTTCAATATAGTCCAAACTTAGACTTGTAACTAAAGCAATGCAATTTTTGCATGCTTAACTTAGAGTAAAAAATAATTTTTCAAGTTCTCTTGATCTAAATATTTTTCAAGTTATATATATAAACATATACACATACATATTAAAATTTATAAAAAATTTGTACAAAAGAAGAGCATGAAAAATAGGCACCAACAAAAACTTTTTAAAATCCAAGGTAATTCTATCTTATTAAGTCTAATTTGACCAAGTGATTAAGTCCAAGAAGTATTTTTATTATTAACGTAAAACCTAAAAAATTTAAGATAATATAATTAATGTGTGATTAATTATTATAAGTGGATATTTATTAAGATAAATATCATTAAATAGTGTATGAGTATATTAACTAGTGTTTTGAGTATAAACAAGACCATACATGAGAATAGAACGAGTCGAAAACATGTACAAATAAAAAATCTTGAGAAACTAGAAATTTCTAGTCCGGTCGACCGTCGCGGTCGACCGTAGCTGGGTCGACCGTCGTAGTTGGCCGTGGAACCTGTATTCTGTTTTCCTTTTTCAACTTGGTTTTGGATATTTTGAGGCCCATGTTTGTTTCTCTGATATATATATCATATACTCATGAGTATTTTAGTATTATTTCATACTTTTGAAACCCTAGCATCCACCAAACAATTCTACAAACCCTAAGTTGATTTTTGGAAGAGTTTAAGGGCTTTTGGAGCAGGATTTCGGTTTGTTTTGGATTTTATCTTGAAGATCTACCTTGGCATTTTAATGAGTTTTAATGTGATTTTATTGAGCCTAATCGACTAATTTGAGTATAAAAGCAATTCTTTTGTATTATATGAATAAAGATCAAATCTTTCTATGTTTAAAAGATAAAGAACGATTTTACAAAGATGTTTAAGACCTGAGAGTATTTAACAACAGTGTTTAACTAAGTTTTAATGATTTATTCTTCGTATCGAGGTTTCATACATGTTCAAGGGTTTAAATATGACTTATTATGTAATTAATCATGTTTCACATGTTTGATAATTTTCTGAGATGTTAATCTGATGTTTACAATGTTCTACACAAGTTTTATGATGAATTAAACAAGTTAGATAAGAAAAACACACACTAACACAGATATCATAAAACCTATGGAGTAGGTTATTGTTTACAGTTCGGTCGACCGCCAGTCAGGCAAACAACATGTGCATGTTTTTTACACCTGTTTCTGTTTTCGAGGGATTTTCTTGATCTTTTCAAGTTATACTATGATACTTATGAAGCTGTTTGACATCGATGGTGTTTGTGAACACCAGATATTGACATGCATATCGAGATTTATGCATGTACACTTATTATGTATTGATTTGATATGTATTGTCAAGATTTTTAATACACGTTAAGTTGATGAAAGTGAAATAACATATGATAAAACATTGCTCATCAGTTATGAACTCAGTGTGGTTATTTATCCCGTAATGAGACCTCGGTTGTACCACACTAGGAGTATTTGGTTGTTTTTTCATTAATGAGTCCTCGGCTGTACCAAATACTCGAAGGTGATCGGTGTATTTTCCGGTTTGGGTTGTTATGCCTATTCACCATTATACGATTATCTGGAAGCATATTCAAAATAGGGAGATAAAACCTATTAATGTAGAACGATTGAGTAAGGAAGTTGAACCCACAGAGAGATTGTGCGAACCTTACAAGAGTATCGTTATTTCATCTAGCCGAAATAGAGAGATAAAACCTATTGCCACCGAGCGATTGAGTAAGAACCTTATAAGAGTATCGCTATTACAAGTAGGGATGCAAATATATATATATATATAGTTATAGTATGATTCTACTATCAATTATCTAAGAGTAGGGTATACCTTCGATACGTGGCATACATGATATGGTCTATTGTGGTTTTGAGTTGGATAATACTTCCTTATGATTATGTTAAGTACCTGAGGATAGTTTGAGAGGTGACATTGGTTCATTATAGTTGAGGTTTGGAGTATTTTTCTTTTATGTGTTGTATTTCATTCATAGGATTAGAATTGGTATTTAGAGGTTTACAATTTGAGACATGGTATATACATGAGGGTTTCCTTATTTGGATTATTTTGCTCGACGTACTAATTCTCGTATTGTGGATTTCTAAATACCAATCTCCATATAGATTTATATGAAAAATTTTATACTTATATGTACTGACTCTATTTTCTTATATACTCCTATCCTTTTTTCCTGGGACCTTTCAGGTAGCGAGTCCAGCATACGGAGAGTCACAGGTTGATGGGATTGCATCTTAGATTCCATCTAGTTACTTATATTCATAGCTATTTCAGAACTCCACATATAGTTGTTTATGTTCAGACTCTAGATTTGTATTTTATTTTGTAGAGGCAGAGTGCCTTAGAGAGATTCCTTTTGACTCTTTATTTTGAGACATGATATATTTGTTATAGTTTAGAGATATTCTTATTCTATTTTAGTTGGGCTCATTTTGTTGATTTTTTTTCTCATATAGTTCTTCTGTGTATATTCTATTCTTGTACTATTTCAATTATATGCATGTTTTGTACCTGCACATCCATTTGATTCCACTAGAGGATATAACTGTGATTGGTGAAACATGTTATTGTACAGTATGGGTGCATGGTAGGTTTGACATCCTTGGTTTTATCTTAGACTGTAGCCTTGTGTAAACCCAAAGGCGTCATAGTTGGTATCAGAGCTCTAGTTCTAGCATCCTTAGGATCATTCTGTGTCGAGTCATGGAGCTAGGATAGAGTTTTCTAGGATTCATGTATAAAGTCCACTAGGAATTCCTAGAATAAGTGAGGACGTAATACGTATACCTCGAAAATTATAAATTTTTTATGACTACCTTACTTTGATTGAAAAGTATTTGCGTGAAAACTATGTGATACGTTATGTTATATATATGTATTTGCAACCTCATTTACTGTGTCTATTAAGCTCTCCTCTTGATATTATAAATGTCGGGACGAGGATGCGGTCGAGATAAAACTCGTACCCTAAGAGCTGGGAAAGCAGAGCCCGAGTCGTAGTTGGATCCACAGTATCTGATTGACCTGGTAATGCCGATTGCAGAAGCAGAGACTAGCAACACTTAAGGAGCGGGTAACGAGCCACATTATATTTTATGGAGTTCCGCCATCAGTTATACTAGTCGTGCCTATTGAAGAGGCAATACTAATGATTTCACCATCACCACAACCAGCTGTTAATAGAGCCGCAGAGCAGGGGGCTTAGCTCTGTAAGAATAAGAAAGACATCAGACACTGAGAGCACCATAGTTTCAGGGCACACCAGATTCATGTGCAGCTTATAAATGAAAGAAATATATAAAAATTTCTTAATGTCGACTCAGTACTAAAGTAGAGTTAGATGTATTTAGCATAGAGAATAGCACCGAAGGATGGCATCGACTTTAGATTTTTGTCGGAACAGCGAATACCACTTATTTAGGAGAATTTTGTTTGCTTCTTTGACAAACAGTAGAGGTAGTCCGATTAAATCATGGAGATATGCCTATAGTTAATTAAGAATTCATGACCAGCAA